ATTTAGTACATAATTATATTCTCCACAGATAGGCAGTGTACATTTTCAGGTATTTAAAAGCTTTAGTCCATGCACCCACCCTGCCTTACTCTCCCCCCACCCCCAAATAAATCCTAAATAGTACACCACTCAAACATGTCCCTTTTAGTAGCAAAGAAAGCTTGTCCTCCAGTTTAATAAAGCAAATTCCAGTCCCCTACACCTGGGAAACACAGAAGGCAAGACGGAGGAAATTATATTTATAGTCCAAGAGATAAAACGTGTTTAAAAAGGAAAGGCTGCAAAGAGGAGGGGCAGAAGCTAAAGGGGATTTGATATCAAAGAGCTTCTATCCCTTGCATAGTAAATAAAAGCGTAAGAATGCAAGTTGAATGGACACCAGCCTAAAAGACTTGAAGAAGCACAAAGAAACTAAATCCAGACCAAAGTGTACCATTAGAATAACACATGGCGATTTTGAGGCATTGGTTCTTACAGCCAAGAATGTCTAGCAGTCGGTCGTAATAATGATCACTATGCAAGATGGATGAAAACAAGGAAATGCTTTCATTCCAGTTTGGGACTGTAAATATTATAATCCCTAATGCATACCCTTGCTGCAGGGGAATATTTATGTCAGGCAGGCTTTCTAAGCCATCCATGTATTTCTGAAGTTGCTGTGATTACTTTTCAGGCCTCTGTGTGGGGCACATGAATCAGATGGGGCAAAAATGTTGAGGCCAAGTGAAGATACGTTGGATCAGCTTTCAGAATTGGTTCCTTCAACGCCGCTAAGATAATTTTCTGAGGTCCATTAGAGGCCTTAATGGCTGGAATAATTCTGGGCTCATTTTTTTTCTTGTTTTCCTCCATGCCACGGCTATTTTCCTAGAAGACATTTCACGTTTTGCGTGGAGTGTTTTACAAACGATACAATCCTGCCAAACAACAGCTCAGTAAGCAGTTTCAGTATTATCTTTATGGCCCTGGGAGATTTACAGTGGAATATTCTTGGGACAAACCTATTTCTTCAGATCCTCCGTTGGCCACCACTCAAAAGGCAGTGATGTTCTCCAAGAAACATCAAGCAGAACTGCCATCTTCCTTTCCCAAGATTAAATGATAATATAGATGTTATTTTTTATCGTTTTCAAGTTCTCATGCAACTATTAGAGTTTTACACAGTGGAACCCAACCAGCTCAGCACATGTGGGACGGTATTATTATCAGTTGCTTATTTTTAATCAATATCTTAAGTATCATTAAGACATATTTCCAATCGTATTTAAAGAGAGAAAAAATTAAAATAGATACAGACCAATTAAATTTAGATTACATGGTCTATAACGAGCCACAGCTTTGCATTTTTATTTTGGTGATTATCCCTGGCTAGCAAAATGCTTTTAAAAAATGTATATTGAATAAAACAGAATAATATCAGTAGTAGTATTATATTATCTTAAAATAGTCTTTTTTAATGTCGCTTCATAGAATTATGGAGCATAGAATTCCATAGAACAAAGAGATCTAGTTTGTCCCTTCTTTCTGCAATGGTCATATTTGAGAGAACAAAGTCTCACTTCCACAATGCAATATATGTTTTAAAATTTATAGACATCTCTCTCTCTCTCAATTATTAAGATTTTTAAAATCTTTTTTTAAAGTAGTATTATAAAATATTATAAATTAAAATAGACTAAATTATTGCTTGGAAATAAAATAATACAAATGTGCCCTTTCAAGCCAATTGTCCTTGAGTGGAATGGAAAAGCCATCAGGGTTTATTCCTGCAAAACATGACCACTCATGCTAACTCTAGATTTCCACTCATACGCTCTGAAAGACATGTAGAATTTTACTAATGTTTCAGCTACGTCTGTTCCTAAATTCCTTGCACGCACTCCAGAATTAAAAGAAGAACAACACCGCTGTATAAACCACGCTAAACCTTTGGAAAATGCAAGGTGTTCGGATTCTCAAAGAATTAATTCAATGAAAGGCAGGCTGGCTGGCTGGCTGTAGGCAGCATTGTGTGGGACCCACGAGAAGTCAGAGACCAATTTGCTTGCAATTGGTGGAAACTGAGAGATTTTCCAGCTGTAGAGACATTGAATACCACTTGTGCAGATGACAAGTATAGATTGAAACCTGTCCAAAGGATAAATATGTTTAACCAAATATGAAAGGGCTCTCCAGCTCTCTCTCTCTTTTCCTCCCTCTTCCCCGAGTTCATGATCGTAAGCAATGCTTTTGCCTGAAAGCATAGGCCTGCGCTGCATTGCACATTAATCCTTCAAACGCTAACAGATGCTGGCAGGGCTTTAGAGTGGAATGTATTTACAAAGTGACAAATTATGTTCTATATTATACACAGAGAAAGAAAGAGCACCTACAAATAGGCTGATGAATGTCAGCTGCAGTGATGACAAGTGGTTCATTTTTATTATATAGAAACCACCATCTTTTTTTTTTCCCAGGGAAGCCCAAACATTTATTTATTACAATGGGGGGGGAGAGAAATCTAGATTATATGGGACACAAAGTACCATCTCTAAGATCACTGATGTTCGTGGGCAGCTTCCACTGCCAGAAACTAAATTAAGACTGTAGCACAAGCTTAGTCTTGTTTGTTTTTTGTTGTTTTTTTTTAAAAAAATAATATGTGTTATATCACATGTACAAATTTTTCTAAAACATTCACTGGCATGTATATATGATAATTGGGCTTGATAAGGAAGCTATCACTATGGGCTGTTCTATATATTTTATTTAAAAAAAAATGAAGATTTTCGCATTGGTAAAAACAAAATCTACTCAGTCTATCACTGAGTAAGCCATACATGGAACACAAAGATTAATAAAAGTTCTAGCTTTGATCTGTTTATTGTTGCCTTGTTTTTGTTTTAAAATTCTGACGTACAACTTTTAAAATCACTTTGTTTTGCATGTATGTCCCTTCAAGTCAATGATGACTCCTGGTGATTGCCCGGTCTATTCATTGCAGCTTTTTAGCAAGATTTTGCAGAAGTGGTTTGAGAACTGAGAATTGCCTCTTTTCTAGGACTCAAGAGAGGGACAGGCCAAGGTCATCCAGCTGGCTTCCTACAAGTGTCCTGGTCCCTAGTCTGATGCCTTAACCATTGCATTAAACTGGCATCATAATTTAAAATGACTTGATGTACGCCAAGCATTTTTCATTCTGAAAAAATCCGTTGTGAATGTTCTGGAGTTTTCTGAAATGCTGATGGGATGTTTGGAGAAGGACCATACCTAGAACACTTAAACAGACACTTTGGAGATTGTAGTATTATATAAAAGAGCATTCTGCCTATTCATTCATTGAAGTTTTTTTTTTTTAAAAAAAAAAACAGCTATAATTTATTTAAAGGACTCTGAAGATCCAGACTATCCATAACCTTGAGTTGTGGGTTTGTAACCAAAAGGCAAAACAATCACACCATGACTTGTGTGAATGAGGTTAATCTGTTAGTTCTAATTAAAGCATAATCTAAGCTGTGTGTTGTCTTCTCCCATGCTGGAAAAATTTGTTCCAACATTGGATTAATCCAAGCTTAATATGTAGTTCCCCACCATGTGGCGTAGCTCAACTATCCTAGTAAATATGTTTACATAGAACAAGCATCGTCAAATGAGAAATGAATGGATTACTAACAATAAACAACAAATCAAATCCCAGCCATTTGTAGGATAACTCAGGTTTGTGGAAAAGATCCAGATTAGTATCTTCCGGTTCATAATTCTTCTGAGTATGTTTTTTCCTTCTTCTATCCCACTGCGTTAGATCAAAAGTGCTTCCCTCAGTTATCTAGACTGTACTATACTATTTTCCATTTTAGCAATAACAACACTGAATAGCTATAGATGCTTGTGACCTCCACAGTGAGCTTGCATGATTAATTAATATCTCCACCCCACTCTATGCTTTTGAAGCTGCTTTGCCTAGAGAATTTCTAGTTGATGTTGGATTCAAAGTGCAAAGTTCCTTATTTATAGATAAACCTTACAATACCTTTCTGCTCTGAATCCAACATCAGCCAGTAATTTTAGGCCTTATTAAATTACTGTATTTTATTCCATTCACTGTACAGTTATCTAAATTTTCACCTTTCACAAACTGCAGTTCCTTTAAACTGGTATGTCCAAAAAATACAATGATTTAAGGAACAGGAAAGCTTCATCAAAAACATTTTCTCAACAGATGTTTATAAACAGAAGGCAACATTTAAAAAAAAAAAAGACACCTGAACACACTGCCTCGCTATGTTGCACAAACCACTGTACAATCTACTGGAATTACTGCAGAAAGTCTTCCTGGAAAACATCCAGAAATTAAAAGGTGCCAACGAGCTTCCTAATAACCTTGCGTAGACGGAATTCTTATGAAGAAAATAAAGTTTATTGTCTGGAAAGAGAGAAAGCACGAGGAAAGCACTAAAGCAATGGAGGTGAACAATTAGACAGATGTTCACTTAAGGAAATAAAGGGAACCGAATAAGTCTTTGTGGAGGGAATTTTATGAGAATACTGACAACTCTGCACCTCATCAAGGGCATTGGTAAAGTTAAAGCTGCAAAAAAACTGCTGATGTTGAGGAACGTGGCATTTAGGTAACACGGCTCGTAGCAAAGTAACATTATACACTACCGATCTCAATTTGTATTCTCATGTGCAGTGACCATCCTCCCCTCATTTCCTATTCCCCTTCACTCATTCTCACCTTCCTGGCCCCAAAAAACTCATTTTAAAGACCATCCTGTAATTTAACCAAATGAAGACCCTTCTCTTGTTAGATAGGACACGTCCCAAACTTTTTTTTCTTCCTTTTTTTTTTTTTTAACTCTGACACCCAGCTCTATCCTAACAGGATGGACTTTCAGATTCTTTCTATTTGCTACGTGAGGCTAACCAGTTCATGTGTTGGTGTTGAAATACAGGAATGCCTAATGAGGCAGCACAATTTCTGAATGACTTTAATATGTTCTTGACTGCTTTCAAAATAGATTTGGCATGAAGGAAAGACTGGAAGTGAACGAGGTCTTTTTGAAGAGATGTTTTGCTCTCATTCTGGTTCTTTGAGATGAAGACTGGATCAGGTGAAAAGTAATCCAAGGTCTAACCTTTCTAGAACTCACAAGTAAGTCTTTAGACAAAAGTCAATATATATCCTATTTCCTTGCACCTAAGATTCAAATTGGAAAGAGTGTTTTAGAACATAGCACCATTAAGAGGTCAAGAGGAGGCTGTTTTAACAAATTCTATATCTATCTATCTATTTATTTTATTTTATTTTATTTTATTTTATTTTATTTTATTTTATTTATTTATTTATTTATTTATTTATGTGTGCGCAGTTTATGTCACCATCATCATTCTAGCCATTGTCTATCCATTGTTTCCAAGCAATACAGTCCTGAGCTTTCTTTTGCCAATTGGGGCCGCAATAGAATTTATGTACACAACTCAAAAATGCTTGAACTATCTTCAAACAATATTATATAGATACGTTCAAGCTTGTTCTCCAAGTTTTACATTTAAAAATAAGCTAATAATATTTAAGCAATCACCTAACTTTTGTTTCAGTTGTCTTATGAATAGTGACAGTAGTGTAATTGTCCTACTCTTAGTACCGGTAAGTCAGTGAAATTCATTTGGACACAATCCCAAAGTATGGCTTGGTTTTGTCCCTTTTTCTTGTACAGATCAAGTTTTTTTTTTCTTTTTACTAACAACAATTTAATGTTATGTCCAATCCCACCTATTGGTTTACTGAAACAAATTTCAGATTATGATTTATAAAAAAAAATATCTTATTCTCTGAAGTTAGAAGTAATGTTGAGTTTAGATTCATAATTCACAGTAAATTCTGATTGCTGAACTATGTTCTGCTAAATAAATCACAAATAACCTCTAATTCAATTAGTATGTCACATTATAAACCATGTTTTATAATCTGGAAGAATCCAGATTTGGTGCCAAGCCAAAATGAAGCATATTATAATTTAGTTGCAGTGGTTAACTAAGCCAATGCAGAATTTGGATGTGAAGATCAAATGAAAATATTGAAAAATGAGGCTAACGTTCCAATCATTTCTTCATTGCTTTTGCAGAACAGAATGGAAGAATTGCTTGATCTTTCCTGAGCTTTTTCTAAAATCTTAAAATGTGGAGGAGTCTAGGGGCAGAGTAAATCAATTCTGTTTTATTATCATGTTGATGGTGTTATCCCCTTTCAACTTTATTTTTTGCCAATTTGTCATAGTCATACCATTAAGAGACCATGGGTTTTCTTCAGTTCCATTTGTAACAAAAGATAAAGGCATTTTAAAATAAATCCAATTAGTAAAAATGTATATTTTTACATTTAATAAACATACAAAAGATGATAAAGTTACATGTGAATCAATACACACTATTGCTTTTAAAGTAACAAAACTAAAAGCTACTAAAAAGGAATGTCACATATACAGTATTTTAATATCCCATTTTTCCCCCTGGCCTTGAGAAATAACAAGGGGGAAAAAAGTAATGGATTCAATCTCCAGAAATATTTACACTTACAATTTTCATTTTAAACTTGAGAGTGTATCAGATTTGGAAATGAGTGAAAAGTAATTCAACAAAATCTATATAAATATAAATGCCACATGTTTATCATTAGAATACTCAGCATACTCAGTGCAGATTTGACTTTATAGTTCAACTACGTATCTCTGATAAAAATAAATGAAGAACAAGTCAAATTTATGTCTGACGTGACCACAAACCACAGGAATTTGGACTGACCAGCCCACACAACCACTTTTATAAGTTAGTTGACCAGAAATAAGCATGTTAATTCATCAACCTGTCAAAAGAATGACATTCATTCATAAATACCGTCCAGTATCCTCCATACCTGCTGAATATTCTCCAGCCTAGTGAAAAATGCTAATTATATACTTATTTTTTTGTGTCTTTGGACAATACATTGAAAAGAATAATGACAAGAGAACAGAGAATGATGTAATAGCTCTTGGGACAGGATCCATAAGGTTGAAGGAGATGAGAAAAATGACCTAACACATTGGCCCAACATGGCATCTGGAATAGTCATTTTTTTCCACTTAGTTTCACACACAGTGTTTTACCACAGGGAGGGGAGGGAGGGAAAGAGGGAGGGAGAGAAGGAAGGAAGGAAGGAAGGAAGGAAGGAAGGAAGGAAGGAAGGAAGGAAGGAAGGAAGGAAGGAAGGAAGGAAAGCTAATCTTACTCATATCCTTTTTAAATTTTTTAAGTTATTTACATATCCTTTCTGTTCCTCACAGAAGGGCTTGTATACCCAGCAAGTTTAATATCATACTATCAATGGCTCTGAAGGAGAGTTACAGCAACATCTCCTTCTAAAACCATATTTGCATGGTGACTGTGGAACAGTTGTTTTGTTATTCACTTGGGCTCTCTCTTACAGAAGAGAACATGCTCTTTTTGTAAGCAGACAATCCTAACTCTATCTCACGACAAAGCGGAAAGTTTTCTTCAATCACGGCTGAATAAAATCTCTGGGTTTTAATAGAATTTCACAGATCATTTACATATTAGAAGACTACCAAGCATGTCTTTTACATTTTTTAATATTACAAGTCATAAAATGAATTGTATTATAACTATGCAATTACACTTTTAACATGTATATTATACGAAACCTTGGTGCGTGATCGTAAAGAAATAAATAATAAAATAAACACAAAGAGAAAGCGTTAGTTCTATTGAAGGCTTTGATGATCCAATGGAAATGACATTCCCTGTCTAATCAAGTCCTAACAGCAAGATGATATAACCTACTGGGTGTCAGGCGCAAAAAGACTAGAGCCACACATTAAGTTCCAATTAAACTGATTCATTGCTCATGCCTATGCACAAGAGTCTAGTCAACTGGCAGTAAGCAGTATTTTGGCACTATATATATATGATTTAATGGCATTCAAGAGGGGTTGGATTTAGACCGCTTGTGGGAACATAGAGACTAAAGGCCAGGGGTGGGCAATTTCCCAAGAGGCCACATGGGAAACTGGGATTTGCTCTTAGGCCACTCATTCTCTCTCTAGGAAGAAGGCAATGGTAAATCACTTCTGAAATCTTGCCAAGGACTATTTCAATCTTGAGCCAAGAGTCAAAAACTGACTTGAAGATGTTCTTGCACACACACCCACACCCACACCCAAACACACAGGGTTAGAAACCTTGAGGCTGAAGAGGATCAGGCAAAAATAAAGCTATGCTTCATGAGTAGACCAGATGTTTAATATTCCTGTCATCAATTTTTCTACTACATCAAATCCAAAAACATTCATTAGGAAGATGTTCCTTGAATAGCTCTGAAACATCAGATTAATAATCACTTAGGACCAAAGACGCTGAAAGACAAAACAGGGAAAATAAACTTGCAGAAGGTAGGAAGTAATATATTCCAGAGAAAACTACTGATAACACTTTCAATTCAGAGACTTCAAAGTATAGTCATTTAAGAAGCTTGTGAAGAACAAATGTTTCCAAATAATGAGAAAGATCATCTGGCAAATTCTTGTCCATAGTTATTAGCAATGCCCTACAAAATTCAAGGTCACGTCACTTAATTCTGTAGTGGAAGGTTATATTGCAAGAGGCAACCATGACATTCAGTCACATTATACAACTTCTCATAAAACTAGCTAATATCTACCATGTAGAGAAGGAAAGTTTCTAAATTAAATATATGTAGAAGCCTTTGTTACATTAACAGAACATCCAGATTCAGCCATACTTTCATTCCATGCAGCATTAAACTTGTGAACTCTCAAGCTTCCTCCTTCCATTATATATTCAAGATGGACAGTGTTTAATATTTATTTGTTATGTATATGTAGGGGTGCGGGTCTATGCATATGTTGTATATAGTGTGTTTAGATGTGTGTCATGTATGTGTTCACTTGAGAGCGGGCAACTAAATTTCATTTTTGATGTGTGCCATTGTGCCCACAGTGAAAAAAATGACAATATGCCTTGCCTTGTTTGTATTTTTCATCCAAGCAGCTAATGACAATGTGCTAGAGCAGGGCTTTTCAACCAGTGGTACGGGTACCACCTGTGTTACCTTGGCACCTGGCAGATGGTACACGACCATCCTAAAAAAGTGGTAGCTGGGGAGAGGAATGAGCTGAACCGGTGGCAGCACCGCACAAGCCTGAGCGAGAGATGGCTGGAGCTGCAGTGCTGTCAGGGCTCAGCAGAAGCACCAAGATCAGTCCCAGGCTCCATCTGGAGCTCGGCAGTGATCCTGGTGCTTCTGCTGAGCCCTGAAGAAGCATCAATCAGCTGGAAAGCAGCACTGATCCTGGCGCTTCTGCTGAGCCCGGATGAAGCGCTGATCAGCTGGAATGTTGCAGCCTCTCCAGGGTCTTGTGATTTACGTGCTTGGGAACTGATTCATATTTATGACGGTCAGTGTCCTAGGGTCATGTGAAGTGACCAAAACCTGCTGCAACCACCCAGAAGATGGGGGGAATAAAAACCAAACACCCCCTCACCCCACCCCCACTCCTCAACAGAAATGCTCACAACAATGAAAACCTCAGACAGGAGGAAGAGCGCGGCCAGGCGGGCAAGCAGGTGTCTTGCTCGGCTGTGCCTTGGGGGGCACTTTTTTCAGTGCCATTGTAACTTCGAACAGTCACTAAGCGAACTGTTGTAAGTCGAGGACTACCTGTACTTTATCACCTTTTTCCTTTTTTTTGGGTCATCAAGTTTTTGACCCCTTGCTAGGCGACTGGTGGTACTCAGATATTGCCATATCCTAAAAGTGGCACAATGGGTGAAAAGGTTGAAAAGCCCTGTGCTAGAGAGGTAACTAAGCATCTAACAAGTTTTCTGTTATGGCCAAAGAATTACACTATATGAACCATGATCACTGTCATACAAATCCCAGGGATGGAAAACATTTAGTGTTCTACTAAGGAACTTATCGTTCCCATCAATCCCATCACATTATATGCCCTAAAGAATTTACAGTTGTACTTATTGCCAAGAATAACATGCCAACTATTTTTGTAGATACAGGAACAAGATAAAAAGACAATTTGCAAACTTGGAAAAGTTATATACTTATTGGTACATAAGGCAAAAGGGGGGAGGGGAAACAGTGTAAGAATCAAATGCTGCATCAGTTGGGAGATACGTATAGTCATAGTTTCAGTTGCAAAATGATGACGTCCTGACAGATTATCATTCATATGATTAAAGCAATATATAAAATATTCTGATCTGCAGGCAAATCTTTACAATATGAGAAAATCCAAATTCTAATTCCTGTTTCAAGCAGAAATAAGCAATAAGCAAAATTTGCCTAGACTGTATTTCTTAACTGTAACAACTTTAACATGTATGGACTTCAACTCATGCTGGTTGGGGAATTCTGGGAGTTGATGTCCACATATCTTAAAAGTTGTAGAGGCTGAGAAACACTGGCCTAGAATATGCCTCAACATATTTTACATAACTCATTCTGCATCGTCAGGTCAAGTTTCAGTATAATTCTTTGACGGCTGCTTGCCAACTAGAAGTTATATTCAGTCGATCCTCTCATTTCTGGCAGGCATGATCCATCCTCTTTTAAGTTTAATTTTTCCACCTACACCTTGACAGTTGTTCAAATCTGAAATTCTCAGCTGTTTGTTCAATATTGTGCTCAACATCAGACGTGCTACTTGCATTGCATTGCTTCAAAAGAGACATGGGTGGTTTCTATAGTTTGCCCAGGGTATGAACTTGCCTTACACTGGATCAGAATAATTCATATGTCCACCTCATTTAGTTCTCAGGAAAGAATCTTTTCCACTCCTGTTAAATCAGATCTTTTGGTCCGAGATCCAAGGTCATAAGTTAGAAATCTTCTTTTTGTACCACACTAAGGTTTCTATATTTCTATACACTGTGTGACTGTATAGGAACAATTAGAAAGGGAAACTAAAGAATGGCTGCACAAAATAGTCTAATGTCTAGTCTAATGAAGAGAAGGACGAGGGGGGACATGATAGCAGTGTTTCACTATCTCAGGGGCTGCCCCAAAGAAACGAATCAAGGAGAGAAGCAAGCTAGAACTAAGGAGAAACTTCCTGGCAGTTAGAACAATTAACCAGTGGAACAACCTGCCTCCAGAAGCGGTGAATACTCCAACACTGGAAGTCTTTAAGAAGATTGGACAACCATTTGTCTGAAATTGTATAGGGTTTCCTGCCTGAGCAGGGGGTTGCACTAGATGACCTCCAAGGTCCCTTCTAAGTATTATTATATTATTAATCACTGCTTATTATTATTATTATTATTATTATTATTATTATTATTATTATTATTATTATTGCTGTTGTTGTTATATTATCCACCAGAAGCAGATTTGGAAACTGTCTCAGAGGCAGTCAACTTACAACTAAACTAGCACCAAAATTTCCATTGCTAAGCAAGGCAGTTGTCCCATGAGTTGTGCCTCATTTTTCAACTTCTGCTTTGGCTGTTAAGAGAATCAATTTCCGTTTTATTGCACAAAACGCCTCAAAATTATGAAGTTTGTAAAATGAACCAAGTCGTCATTAAGTGAACCCAGCTTCACTCCATTGACTCTGCTTGGAAATTGGCTCAGAAGATCGCAATCATTGTAAATACGTGCTAGTTGCTAAAGTTTGTAAAGTGACCATAGAGATGCTGCGCTGGCTATAAGTGCAAAAACAGTCAATAAACGTATGATGATAAGTCAAGGACTTGCACGTTCATTGTTTCTCAGTAGGTTAAAGTGAAGGAAACTCTTCCTCCAGCCTCAGATGATACATGACTGGACACCAGATACCACCAGTTACATTAGTTTTTTGCATAATACTACAACACCAAATGAAGCAGATGATGGCTTAGTGTGAGATACCAACCAACCAACCACTGGAGACACCAGACAGCAAGTTATCTCATTAGGAACTTCAAGATTTCCTCTATTAGTCTAAAAAGCCAGAGAAGATCAGAATGATGTGCTTCTTTACTCAGCCAATTATATCCTATGCTCAGTGGATTCCAATGATCCAATTACAATCACGTAAACAAAGCATTTTGCTATGCTTAGCCCAAATTGTAGTGTTCAGTGCTTAAAGTTATTAGAGATTCTAAATTAGTTTTTAATTCCAAATTGCCCCAGTAGACTTCTTTTGAATATAGCTTCTTCTTTTTTTTCCTAATTAGCTGTACCAGCACGGCTATTTATTTTAATGTTTCAGCGATGCTGTTTGCAAAAAAAAAAAAAAAACCAAAAAACATTAAATGCACACACTCCTGTGAAAAAAGAGATGCTTCTCACATTACAAGTGTAAAATTTAACAATAGCCTATATCTCAAATACTTTTAGTTGGTCCTTTTACAGATGATGATACTCTCAAAATATGTTATATATTAAAGTTTTTAAGATTCACTTACTATTGTTTTCTCTTTTTATGACCCCGTAATCCCTTGATTTAGGGTGGGGTCCGGGCGACTGACTGAAGCTGAGCATTTACTGACCTGATGCCCTTCCTGACGCCTATAGCAGTGATGGAGAACCTTTTAGAGACCGAGTGCTCCAAAACTGTCCCACCCCCGCTCCACCTGCCCACTCCCGTCCTGCTCTGCCCTCACCCCGCCCATCCTCAGAGCCATCCACGGCACGTCGCACATCGCCCAGGCGGCCCTGCAGCGCCATGGTGGCCACGCCCTCCACCCGCACTCCACAGCATCTGCTGCCCAGCTGCCATGTGCTTGGCTGTGCAGCTCCGCACAGGCCGCACCCGGGAGTGATTCTCCTCCGGGGGGGCTGCTGGTGAGGAGGGAGCTATGGAGGGAGGCGGAGCTGGGGCGACGGCATGAGTGCCCACAGAGAGGGCTCCGAGTGCTGCCTCTGGCACTAGTGCCATAGGTTCGCTACCACTGGCCTATAGCATTCACTTACTACCTATAAGGTGACTTATTTCTGCTTTGAAAAAAAAATGACTTCAATCTTTTTCCACTATGCACTGAATCAATAAGATATCAAGTGTGGAACATATACAGATATCTGTATTATTCACCCATAGGGGTTACTATATCTTTGCTTATGCACATAACAGTAGAGAACAGCTGCTGGAAAATTAATCTGGCTGTTCTAAAGGTATAAAAATCAGAAAAAAAGGAAACAATAACACCACCAAAATGAACCGCAAGAAATATTATGAGTGGATACTAATCTCCAAAAAGAAATCAAAGTAGGTTTTTTTTAATTATTATTACTGTCATTGCTATTTCCGATAGAAAAAGAAAATTAAGGGCAATACTATCGCCAAATATGATGACTGACTTGGTTCAAATGAGATGCACTATCAAAAAATATACAGCAGGATACAAAAAACTTGAACACTCTTTAGAAAGAGCTATTCACTGTAATGCACTGATTCTCTGAACAGACTTTGGAAATAATCTTTCTGGGTAAATCTGAATGCATGTTTGGTGTATTGCAACTTAAGTTTATTAAATATAGACTTCCTGTAGTGTTAATAATTTTTTTTTTTTTTTTTGTCTTTCAGGGTCAAGCATAGACTACATTCCCCCCCCAAAAAAAACAACTGATCAAGGAAACATTTTAGTTGAAAGGTCAATCCCTGTACAGAATGATTCCCCTCCCCCGCTGTGGTACCCACATCCATTTCATATCTAGCATCTTTTTTTCTGCCTTTTCTCCTGCTGTAATTCCATTGGTATTAGAAATATTCTAAATTTCTAAATTTTACAATTTTTAAAAATGCCTTTTTTATATCTTATTTTCCAACCTCTAATTTTCGCCAGCCCAACGGACACAACTGGTGTATCTGTCAAACAAACAAAGAAGAATGAGAAGTAGAAGATGATTTTATCATAGATAGAACAACCTCAATATTTATTTATGTTTCATATTTCTTAATTGCCCATCTCCCTTGAATAACTATAGTAATAAAATGTTCATAGGAAACCTTTTTTTAAATGGCTGAGTCATTAGCACTAGGCCCTCCCAAAAGAGCATACAACTGTAAGGCACAGATTGATTCCTCAATGGAAGATGCACGTCCCACACATTCCCAACTAGAGGACACAAGCTTACCATAATCTTATGAATCTTATGAATCGGTTTTCCCCATCTTCCCAGAAATCTGAGATTACAAGAAGGTGTAATGAAGTTCAGCCCCTTTAGCAATCTGGTTTGTAAATGAAATAAAGGAGTTTCCAAATTATAAGACTGTATCTCCTTTGGTGAGGCTCTAATTAGGTTGGAAAATACCCTTCTTTTTCTTAGTAAGAGAGAATGCCAGCCATCAGGAAACATTCAAGTTCATTGGTTATGCTATGTGCTTTTTATATCTTTATATGTTGTCCCAAACATACCTACCTAATTTGACATTCTTAACTGAGCTAATCTAGCTAGCTCACTCTGCAGCAAATCCACAAGTTCGCTCACACTGATGATGTTAACTAGCTGGGTAAGCAAACATCTACAAGCAAACAACCACACTCCAAGAACACCAAGGATTCCACAATTCAGCCTTGAACTTCTCCTTTCTTGTAATTTACTCTGCTAAGACCTGGCACTGCCGATTTGTCTGGTGATTTTTATCTCTCTGTTCAGCCAGCTAATGGCATCCAGGACAAGACAAATCATGTAACTCAAGGAAGATGGAGTAGAGATGATAAGTTTAAATTTGTACGTGGCAACATGTAAAAGGTTTGTTACATATTTCCAAATGCTGTAATCTACTGTTGCTTTTAACCATTGTCCAGCCTGTTTCGTAGGCACAGACATAGGATTCTTTCAAACAGTTACAAGAATTGTGTTCATACCAGTTAAGGAAGAAGCCGCACGCCCAGAGTACCTTAACAGTTCATCCATAGTTCAGAATAAAGCCTCAATTCCTTGTTGTTATATTCCAGTTCCAAGGTTCATAATTTGAAAATTGACTTTGGGGAGTTTTTGCTTGGTCTATTAAAATGATTCATGTTGCATTCAACATAAATTGTGCATACACAGAGGAGAGTTCAGTTCACATATTCACAGTATAATAACTAAAGTGAATTCTGTATGAGCTGCAGTTTGTGGCAGAGATGCAGTATCATTTGTCTTAATTTTTCTCCAGCATTACATTAGGGCTAGTGCATTTACATTTCCAGGTAAGGCTTAACTTTACCCCTGTTGTAAAAAGAAAAAAGGGAATCAAATCTGCATGTTTATGCAGTCTAACATCAAGTAATGCCTTTTTACTGTCTTAAAGTACACATGGATTTACTTTCCATTTACATCCCTCTACAAAGTCAAACTCAAAGTGCATGAAATATTTACTGGACATAAATCATATAATATCCCAAATTAAAAAAGATAACAGATCCACTTCCTTCTAAGGCAAAAAGATATTACAACAGTCACGTCTCCTAAATATTTTCACCATTCAACCCTGGAAGAATAATGAAAGCTGAGAAAAGCAAAGTCCATTTTTTTAAAAAAAAAAAAAAACAACAACTTTTAGGCTACATGTAAATTAATAAACACACTGACATAAGAATGCAAGAGCTTTCTCATGAAATATGTATTTGAGAGGGGAAAAATCAGCATATGGCAAGCTCAATCGCCAACATCTTAAAATAATTTTCCAATACTTAAGTGACAGAACCACAGATGCAGACAAAGGGGAATTTCGGCTCTGCACTTTATTCTTTTAATTCTGTTTCGTGTTCAGACATCCATCAACATGACTTTGAATGTGGTCATTTATTGTGGCAGAAAGCTTTTCTGCTTATTAGATCACAAGACACCTTTATAAGGTGGCCCAAGAAATTGAACTACTTTGAGTGGCCAATACGGATGTTCTGCTTTTGGGGCAGGAAGGATCCAGAAAAGCATAAACAGAGTTCAGTCATACTGCAGATCTTTTTTACTTTTCTCCTCTCTCTTTGTGCCCTCCTTAAAAAGTGATCATTGAAGGCTGGGAATCACCTATGCATAGAGGAAAATAACCAGTAATAAATAAAACTATGGGAGAAAATAATATAGATTTACATTCTGTATATTTACATTCTGGTCAAAGCAAGGGGCAATGGAACCAATTGTCATGATTGTTTTGTTGGAATGGTTGATGTTTTTCCTGGACAAGATTCTGTTAGTGTTACCTTACAATAAAGTTAAAGGTAGTACTTCTGAGAACACTTTTTGTCTGGACTACTTTGCAAGATCAGCATCAATCCCGCAAGTATAAAAAGTACATTTCTTTACATAAACAAACAAACACATACACACACCACCTTTACAGTCCAATAAATAATGGCTAATAGCAGTGAATTTTGGCTCCTATACTTAAGAAAGCATTCTTTCTTTCTTTCTTTCTTTTTTTCTTTCTTTCAATGATAATTGTCGTAAATTGCTACTTGTCAACTTAATATTCAGAATACTATTTTATTTTCAGCAAAAATCAAAAAGCTTTCACAATACCTTTAACTTTTAAGAAAATTTCCTTGATATTAAATCCTGAAACTAACCCACATGTCCTCATTTATTCAGTCATTCTTAAGTAAGCACCATATTCCTGTAAACTATATCAATTCAGTAACTTTACTTCTTTCATATTCAGAAGTCAGCCAAAAAGAGACTTTATTTAAGATCAAGATCGCTTCCTTAAAATATAATCAAAGAAAATCAAAATACCAAATTCATTTTGACTTTCATATGTTCAGATAAAAGGTACATTGGGTTTAATCCACACTGGAAGTGATCCCAGGTCCTCTTCCTAACTAGTCTGCTGTAAGGTGATGTCAATAAAACCTTTGTTTTATGTATTAATGCTTGAACCTTGGATAAAATGGAAGTATTTTTAAAAATGTTCAAACTGCATTGGAATCCTATTAATTAATTGGTGGAAAAAAAATAAGGCAAAGTGAATGAATATGATTTGATCCAGTCAGTTGGATTAAAGTCGAATGAAAAAATATTGGGTGACAAAAGGCCATTACAGTGATCTGCCAGAAAGAAATAAATTAATCAAACTGTCAAAGAAAGAAGGCTGGGTTTGACCTCGTACTGATCTCATTACTTCTCTATTACCCTTTTGAAAAACATCCTCTTACCAAGACAACTAATTGAGGATTACGTGGAAAGAAATAACACCTCTCCATCACTCTAGTAACTTCGACTCATTTGTCATTCTAATAATTCATTTCTATCCTTTTCTCAACAGCCGCAGACACTAATGGACTATCATCAGTTAAAAAGGCAATTTTTCCATTTAATTGCACTCATTAAATGCTCCAGTTGGACAACAAAAAAAGCAACAGTTTCCTTATTTTAATCACACCGAAGTAACAATGCAATATTAGATCTAAATGCACAGGGCACAATAGAAAATACTTTGCAATATCTCATTCACAACATTTCCATTCAGAGTCTATTAAACTCTACGGTAAGAATCTCGCTGGCTTTCTTGTAGCGGAGGGTGGCAACGTCTTTTGCATAGATGACTTTTCTGTGACCTTTAGTAGAAATATACCATTCAGAAACATGAGCAAAAAGGATTAAATATTGAAGAGATTTGATATTCCAAATGCCAGACAATATGAGCAATATCTTAGATGCTGAATGTTTGGATTTCAATTGAAGAAATTTTGTTTTAATAATCCATGGAAGTCAAGATAGATCACATGGTTAAGATGTAAACAATACTATCTTAGTGAGCTAAATTTCCATGCTAATAATTGCTGGTTTTTGAGTAGGAAATCATTCCGGATTAGAAGGGACAAATAATAATCCCAAAAAAAAAAAATGATTGATTAAAAAAAAATAATTGATGTAATTGGAAAACCTTGTTGGTTGGTATGTCCTATCCTGAAATACTGGGAAAGAAGAGCAGACAAGGAAAAAGCTTGATCAAATAACTCCTGGATCTTGTTCTGCAAAATGAATAGGCTTGCCTTTAATTAAAGGTCACATTGACAAGAATCTACACAGCTCTTCCAAATGTATTTTTCTAAAAGAATTCAAAGTTTTGATCTGGCAATGGTAGGATCTGCTAATCCAGACATGTCAAACAAAAGGCCCAGGGGCCGGATGCAGTCCGCAAAGTGGTTTTATGTGGCCTGCGAAGCCATCCTGGAAACAGTGACGGAACGCCCCCCTCTGCCTTGGCCCTGGCCCAAGCCAGCCGGGAGCCAATGTACAATTTTGTGATGGCCATCTATGCTGAAACACATTCAGCCTTAGCTCCATAAGCCCCCCCCCCCCGGCATGGCCTGAGAGGAACAGTGAGGCTTCTCCAGTGGACCATGCCTTGGTACTTGCCCTGGTCCCTCACCCTTCTGCCAGAGACCCTCAGATCTGTCCCACTCCTGCTCAGGCCCCCACAGGCACCCTTGACGCAAACGATGTAGAACTGGCCACACCCACCCAGTAGGCCACACCCACTCCATCCTCGCCCACCCAGTAGGCCGCACCTACCCTGGCCACACCCACCTGGCCCCCTGAGGGCAACCGCAATGCTGATGCGGCCCTCAATTAAATTGAGTTTGACATCCCTGTGTTAATCCAACAAAGCTCCTATAAATCAACTCTACATGGATTGTTGGATAATATTCACTCTCAGTACCATTCCTCTGGAAACTAGAGAACTCCAATTTTGATTTATAATTTGGACAGAAGGTGGGATAAAACCCT